CTCCGCCACCACGTCCTCCTCCCCGGCAGAAACAGCCCTCTGCCTGGCGACTGGCTTGCTGTGAGGGAAAGCGGGGTGCTGGTGGAGGGGCACAGCTCTCCCCGCCAGTGGCTCACCCTCTTCCCGTGCTCTCCTCCAGCCCCTCACCCTGTAGGCCTCTCCCAGAACCTCTTGCTCTGCCTGTGTTCCTTCTCCCCAAGTGAAAGCATAACATTTACCAGGTTTCCCCAGTCTTGCACTGACTAGAGGGGCCTTTACACTCTTCACTGCACATTTCTTTAATCTCCTCAAGCCTCTTTAAAGGTCTCCTAAAGTATCTCCCTGCCCCCACAGAGGAATGGATGTCCCAGACCCCAGCACCTACAGGCAGTCACCACGAGAACTCTCTGGAGCCTGGTCTCCCTAGTAATTAAGAGCTGCAGGACATTGGTAGCTGTCTCTTCCTGGCTATGAGAGATCCTGCAGCATAAAGCTAGTCACAGCATACACTCCTTCCCCTGGGACCCTGGGGTCATACTCTAGGATCACGAACCTCTTTGTCCCTTAGAACCCTTGCCTCGTCCCTTCTGACCTAGGCCATGCGCTTTCGTTTCGAAAAACGTTAACAAACGAAGGAGTCCTCTGAGATGATGCTGTCTAGTCCACCCCTCTTGTGGAGCACCCGCTCTGCTCCAGGCACCGGGCTAGGCCTTTCATACACATTATCTAATTCAGTATTTATAGTAGCCCTATGAGGTAGGTTCCCATTTTACAGATAGTCACAGAGAAGGTTGAGTAACTTGCCAGGATGGTGAAATCAGGACATAAACTCAGGTCCATCTGATTCCAGACCATTTACTGCATTGTCCCAGCTATGAAAACATGTTCCCAGTTGAAAAAACCATTTTCCCCAGCTATGTCCAGCGGGGCTCCACTGTAGGTATAAAAATACTGAATTTGCCATTCTTAAAAGATGACACATGGCTAATAAAAAGGCAGGACTTAAAACCACATTTGTTTGTTCCCTCTCTGCTGCTTCCTCGGGGGTCACAACACGAGGGCTCCTGCAAGTCGGTGATTAGCCCTTAAAGGATAAAGAATGACTTGTACTTCCCCAGGCCCGCCAGACGTTCATGCCTCAACCCCCTGCAGACAGGAGCGAGGCAGGAGCCCATTCTCAGAACGTGGAAGCAGGAGCAAAGCAGGACTGGCCCCCATGCTAACCTGAGGGCGAGCCATCTCAACGTTGGCACCCCCCTGCTGGCGTGGGGGTGGAAGGTGGCAGGGATCCTGGCAGGCTGACATTGTTCTCTCTCTCTCTTTCCTGAACCCCTTGCGATATTCTTTCTGGAGAAGAAATAGTGCATTGATTTGGGATTTAGTCATGTTTCATCCCATCTGCCTTTTCCCTGGCCTCTAAAACCACAAACCTGGCTGAGGAATTCCGGTCCACAGTGTGGGCTTTGAATAGCTTTGTGTAGGGAGAGGTTTTGAAAAGAAAGGAAAGTGGTATCTACTCCTCAGATGGAATGTGTTAAGCCATCGAGGAAGAATGCGAGGGTTTTAGCTGTTAGGGTCCGTCAGCAGTTCGGGTGCTGAGTCATCCAGCGTGGGGATGGATTCCTGAGAACTGAAGCTTCGTGATGACATCATTCTTGCAAGATTGTCTGGGATCTGTTGTAGCCGCCTGACAAGTTCTTACCTTGGGGATTTTCATCACATGGGTTTTTTCCCCAACCACACTTAATACCCATCATGCCTTCTAACTAACTTCTAACTTCTAACATCCACTTTTCTATCAACTAGAATTTGGCAAACTGGGACTTTCACAGGTCTGTCTCATTGTCATGCCTGCTCCAGGGCATTCTTGGGACAATGTGTGCTCCTCACCTGATCACTCAGCACCCATCCTCCTGACAGTTCTCCATTTAGTCAGCACTTGTTTCAGTGGTGAGCCATGCTAGTCTGAAGGGATGAAGGCCAAGGAGGAGGGCAGGAACATGCCCGAGGGTACCTCCCCAGACTCCTGGGATCGGGGAAGACACCGTGCTTTAAATGTGGTGCCAGTCAGTAAATATGTGATGACTAGTTAATACCTCAGTGGAGTCTTAGAAGATGAGTAGGAGTTAGTCTAGGGAAGAGTCCAAGCGAGATATTTGCGTGAATGAAGACCCAAGTTTCCACAGGTGAATAGGAAGAGGTGAGAGATGAAACTAGGCAAGTGTGCTAGGGAGCCTCATGCGCCATGCTGAAGAGCTAAAATTGTATCCTAAGGAAGATGAGAAGCATTCAAAGGGCTTTAGGCATGGAGGTAAAGTGGCCAGATTTACAGCAGTGTGGAGGCTGGGTTGGAAGGGGCCAGACTAGTCAGGGAGTTAATGCCATCCTCTAGAGGTGATGTGAGCATGAAGTAGGGTGATGGGAGGAGGGATGGAGATGAGAGGACAGATTTGAGAAATATTTAGGATTTAAACTTGGCAACCGGTGAATAATTCGTTCTGTGGGAGGGCAATATCCAGAAGACCCCCAGACTTCCAGTGTGGGAAAGATAAGGGGCCCCGTGTTCAGGCAGGGGTGTGAGTTCATTTGGGGCATGCCGAGTTAGAGTTCCCCGCAGGGGACATGAGCCTGGTCGAGCAGACTCATGGACAGTTGGATACACGAATCCGAAGACAGGAGAGTGTATGCTGAAGATACCGACTTGGGACTCATCGTGTTCATAGCAGTTGAAACTGTAACTGCACAGCAGTAGAGATCCCCCTGGAAATTATGGGGAATGAGAAGGACAGTGGGCCAAGGACGGAAGCCAAGGGAATGCCAATATTGTTAGTGCAGGAGAAGGGAAAGGGCCCCGTGATAGAGACGAAGGAAAGTCAGAGACACGGAACCCAGGAGAGTCCCCTGCTGCTCTGTGCTTCTCTCCCTCCTGAATATTCCACTGAAGCCCCAGTCCCACCGCCCCACCCCGCCCCGGCTGTCTTATTCCTCATCGTAAGCTCCTTTACATCCTTAACTCTCCAGAAAGCCTTCGCAGGTCAAAGCTGCGCCTATCCCAAAGCCCGTTTGCTGCAGCCTCCAGCCATCCCTCATCTACCCTCCTGTAGAGATTCCTGTATCTTCGAGCCTCGTGCAATTCACTTACGATGCCTTGACCTCCTTGCCTGACCGTTCTGTTTATCTACATCACCATTTTTCTCTCCACCCCACTGCTGCCATCCTGTCAGATGACTTCAGTGCCACGAGGGTGAACCATCACTGAGTCTCATAGTTCCCAGATGCCCTCATTTCCAGTGACTCTTCACCTCCCACTTCCATGAGACTGCCCAGGAAATGGTTAATACCTGCATGGCTTCCATTATATGGGAGTACACCTCACATCCTGCTCTCTGGGCACAACCAGCTCTCTCACCTCTTATCTCATTTCCCACTGCCCTTAGTTCCCTCTGTTTCCTTCTGACCTGTAGGCTCCCTCCTGACCTCTCCTCTTTCCTTAACCCGGTTAGACTAACTGGCTGTTCATCGGAGGTGCTATTTCCTAAAACCTTCGCTTTCTTTGCACTCCCACTCTCCCCCACACCTGACGAGGGCAACGCAAGGTCACAGTCTCTTCTCTACTCCTGCTCCAAGCACACGGAGGAAAGTGGGTCCCCGTACAGAGGGACAGCATTAGACATTCACCGTCTTCACTCTGTCATCCCCGTCATTCTTCAGTGCTATAGAAAACCTAAGCCTTCCCACGGGGAAATAGGAAAATTCAAGCCTTAGCCAAAAGCCCAATCTTTCTTTCCCAAAATAGCTTCTCCACCTGCTCTGTTGCTGGATTTCCACACAGATGACCTTGGTACAGCTCCTGACTGCCCTTTACCCCCTTTATTCTTCCCTCGGGCAAGTTACTTAACCTCCTCGAAACCTAGTTCCTCAGTTTTAAAATCAGGACCCTCCAGTGTTGCTGCCAACCTCTGGGGCGCTTAGTGCAAATTAGAAGAAGGTGCCCCTTTGGCCAGGCACACAGCGTGATGAGCTGAGCATGGCCTGCAGACCACAGTGCCCCCCTCACCTGGGCACCCTGGTGCAGTGCCACCTTGAATCCCGGGGCCCCAACCACACCCACCTCTCCACGGGGTCTTGTGAAATCAAGGCCACGGTAGGCACAGCACCCAGGCAAGAGCCTGACTGTGCAGAAGCTCAGACGAAAGAGTTAACTTGGCCCACTTGGACTTGCATCAACACGTGGGCGTGCTCTGCTGGGACAGCACCAGCTCCATGAGGTTCGTCAGTGCGCGCCCATTTCTCATCAAGAGAGGGGAGCCCTGAGAGACTGGAAGTGAGCTGGTAGGTGAGGGGGTGGGACAGTCCGACGGGGAGGAGAAGGGAAATGAGTAACAACCTCCTGAGGGCAAGAATGCCTCAGGCTCTGGGGCAGAAGTTGCCCACCCCAAACCCACACCCCAACTCTAGGGTGCTGCCCTCAGGAGCTCCCACCTCGCAGATGCTCCCCGGGGGGCCTCTCGCTAGCTGCACCTGAGTGTCATGCCCCCTACCCCACCAGCCCCGCAGAGCGCCTGGGCCCTTCCCCCTGCCCAGCCCCCCTGGAGGGCGCAGGTAGGCCGGGCGTGTTTTGCTGTCCTTTCACTCCACTCCTAGTCCACTTGCCTCCGCAAGTGCCACACGCCAGGACTTCTCCAAACCCAGGAGTGTGAAGGCCCCGTCCATCCTGTCAGAGCGGCTCTTCCTTAAGAGGATATCACTGTGCGAAGGCAGCGAATAGTAACCACCTGGGTATTTTTATGGAAGAAAGATGAATTATGCCATCACCCCTTCTGGCACAGAAATAATTTTCAGTAAAAGGTTAAAACCATCATGTTGTATCAATGAGAACTGTTCCATTATTCCAAGAATGATTGATTGGAAAGTACTTTCCTTACAGGAACATCAAAGTGATACAATGCAGCTTCCACTTTTAAAGCACTTTCCATTAAAAAAAAGCATACCGACGTATAAAAATAGTTATACTGAAGATGTGAATCAACAGCCGAGGAATTTATTGGCACTTGAAAGCCTTGTGATATAAATAGATTCAACAATGAGAATGAATCTCAAGTAACTCTGGGCTGTGGCAACCTAACCTCCACTTTCACTGACACAAAAGAAAGTCACATGTAGTTCAGCGAGTCCTCTGGCCACCTTGGAAGAGAACACAATGGAACTAGGTCCAACAGGGCAGGTCAACTCAAAGCAGTGGGTGAGGCAGTAGGAGAGACAGAGGGGACAGAGATAGGGCCTCTGCCCTCAAAGAGTTTTCAGACTGTCCCAGACTGTAGGCCTGACAAAACACAGCCCCCAGTACCGTGGCCTGAGGGAGGGACAAAGAAATAGGAGATAGAAGGGAGAAAGCTGTTTCCTAACTTGGTGATTTCCTTCCTTCTCCCCTCTCTCCCTGCTTCCCACAAACAGTCGCTCTGTGGTGTAATGTGAACAGAACATGGAAATCAGTTGGGTCTGGATGCAAACTGCCACTTACCAGCCATGTGACCCCAGATAAATTATTTCATGTCTCTAAGATTCGGTCCCCACAAGGGTTGCAGGGGTCAGGGGGCTGTGGTTGTAAAGATGAAATGTCTTGGGTGTGTATGTAAGCACCAGCTTTGCTGCTTCCTGATGCAGAGCAAACAATAAACGTTCACTCCCTTCCTTACCCTTCCACTCCTCTGTGAAGGTTAAGTAGTACTTACTTTTCCACACCTTTCATGCTTAAATTTCAAAGAGCTTTTCCATCTTGGGATATAATGTGATTTTCAAGGTAGCCTTTGCTGGTCTTCATGGTTCTGAGTTGATGGCCCCTATCCTCCAAGGGCTTTCCTACTTCTCTGTGTTTTGGGACTCAGAGGCCCAACAGCTGCCCTCTTTGTAAAGAAGAACATGCAATACCCACCACCACCACCACCCCACCTGAGACCAGGGCAGCTGAGAAGTGGCCCGTCGGCAGTCCTTGACTGAGCATATACTGTATATGAGCACGTATTGTATAAGGGTTGTGTAACTCTGAGGAGTCAAGGAAAGAACTGGACAAGATTTCTGACCTCTCATAAGACTTCAACATATGGGTGTCACCTCAGTCGAGGTTCTTGGTTCTTGGTTGAAACAACAGCCCAGTTGCAGTCCTGGTATGAGGCACCAGACGCTATCACCATGGTGGCAGCCCCTAACATCTCAGACCTCAGTTCTTCTGCAGTCACTGTCATGGCCGGAAAGTTCCTCCCAGTCCCCTTGACCTGCAGGGGGATGTCACTGCCTAGTCCTTCGCTGAAAGGGAAACTGGATGAGATGACGAGACGGGGATTCTCAATGCAGGGAGGAGCATCTCTCAGTTCAGTTCACCCCAGCTTGGAGTCGATGTCCACTTAATTGAATTAAGAGAAAGGAAAATTATTCAGAGGATGAAATTGGCTCCTTTGTAAATTCACAAAGCGACTGATGAAATTTTACTAAAGAAGTTTTGAAAATCAACTTGTATTAAAAACTTTAAAATGTTTGCTTATCTAAGTAAAACTGACAAGTTGTCGTAGGCCTATATACCCTGCAGAGTTTCACCAGTGATTAGCATTTTGTCACATTTGTTTTACTGCTGCCTCTCAAAGTACATAAATATACTTTTTTTTGGATGAGTCATTTGAGAGTAAGTTGCAGACATCATGACTCTTCACCTCTTACTACTTCGGGAGAGACATCCTGAGAACAAGGACATAACAAAACTACAATATAATTATCAAATTCAGGAAATTTAACACTGAAATAATCTTTTATGCACAGTCCAATAATGTCTCAAAAGTGTTTTTTATAATTTTTTTGGTCCAGGAGGCAATCCAAGAGTTTGTATGGCATTTAATTGTCATGCTCTTTTAGCTCCTTAATAGGAAACAGGTCCTCAGCCTTGTCTTTCATGATATTGATATTTTTTTGAAAATCACAAGTTTACTCTTTCATAGAATTTTTCTCCATTTAGGTTTGTCCAGTGCTTCCCCGTGATCTGAGTTAGGTAACGTGTTTTAGGCAGGAATACCACATAAGTGACATTATGTCCTTGTCAAGGCCCCACATCGGGGAGCATGCGATGGCAGTTTGTCTCATTATTGGTATGTTGCTCACTTGATCAAGGTGGTGTCCCCCAGGTTTCTCCGCTAGACCATTATCTGTTATGAATAGGCCATCTCTATGGAGATACTTTCAAACTTATAAATATTGTATTCTCATCAAACCTTTATCCAGCAGTTTTAAAAGCATCCATTGATGATTCTTGCCTGAATCAGTTGACGGCTACAAGTGATTTTTCAAACTTCTGTATTTACTAATTGGCATTCTACTTTAAGAAGAGTTTTCCCTTCTACATTATTTATTTTTTCATTTATCTATTTAAAATCAGTATACACTCGTGAGTTCATTTTTTTTTTAAAGATTTATTTATTCAGGGGTGGGAGAGGGGCGGAGGGTGAGGGAGTCCCAAGTAGGCTCCACATGGAGCACAGAACCTGACTTGGGGCTCGATCTCACAACCCCAAGATCACGACCTGAGCCAAAACCAAGAGTCAGATGCTTAACTGACTGCACCACCCAGGCACCCCAGATTCATGGATTCTTAATAAATTTTCAAGTGATTGTTAACAACTTATCTCTTATCCATCCCTTCTATACATCACTTCTGCATTTGTGGATGGGTCAACCTCATTGCATGCAGATTTCTTTTTTATGTGGACTTGAACATTTAACCTATAGCCCACTATTTACAAAGGCAGACAGGAAATAGAAAACTGAACTTTTTATGGGATTTTTGGTTGAACACATAGGTTATCAAAGTGTTTTTAAGTAGCTGGGGCAAAATGAGATACCCTGAGAAGACACAAGGGAACAGGCCCTTCTAAAGAAAGGAAAGGGGTTTTGCAGGAAGACATGAGAAGGTAAAGAAGAGTGGCATGATCATACTTCATGACTGGACACAGAAAGGGGAGCGTGGCAGCACAAAGTGGGGTGGGGGAAGGGCAGGGCGATGGAATGAATAGGGGAGTAAGGTGGAAAGGTTAAGTTAAAGTAGCAACATGAGGGGCGCCGGGTGGCTCAGTCGTTAAGCATCTGCCTTCAGCTCAGGTCATGATCCCAGGGTCCTGGGATCGAGCCCCGCTTCGGGCTCCCTGCTCAGCAGGAAGCCTGCTTCTCCCTCTCCCACTCCCCCTGCTTGTGGTCCCTCTCTCACTGTGTCTCTGTCAAATAAATAAATCTTAAAAAAAAAAAAAAGTAGCAACATGAGTTCTGTGAACTGAATTGGGGTAAGAAAACTGAGAAGCTAGGAATGACAGATTCACAAAAGCCCTATGAGATATTAATCGTTCCATTATTTATAGAGAACTCACAGAGAATTTACACTAGTTTTCCCAATGTCACAGAGCTAGTAAGTGGCAAAGCCAAGATTCAAATACGAATCTATCTGACTTCAAAGCCCCACCGCTAGAAGAGAAACATCTATAGTAGAAGAACGGAGGTGGAATTAGGGCTCATGATAAAAGGCCTGCTAGGTTCCTATATGCCAATCATAACACTTAATTAACCCTGGCCCACAGTAAGTCTCAAAAATTATCCCAACCATACACTTTAATCAGCAATAAGCTGAGGGCACTTAGATATTGCCAAAGTTTTCAAAACTTACATTACACTCCTTCATGACTCAGTGCCCCCCTCCCCCCACCCCTGCCTATATAAAAATCAGCTTTATTGAAATATCATTTTCAGACATAAGATTTCACCCATTTTAAGTGTATGATTCAATGAGTTTTGACAAACGTAGAGTAATTTAACCACCAATCATAATTACAGAACTTTCTATCACTCCAGAAAGTTCCCTGTGCAGCCCCTGTGAAGTTGATCTCCTCCAGCCCCTGGTCTGCTTTTTGTTGATATACTTTTGACTTTTCTAGAATTTCATATAAATGAAATCATACAAGATAGTATGTAGTCTTTTGTGTCTGGCTTCTTTCACTTAAGATAATGCTTTTGAGATTCATCCATGTTGCATTAGCACTTTGTTCCTTTCTGTTGCTAAGTAGTGTTCCACTCTATGGATGTACCACATTCATCCATTCAAGGATATCTGGATCGTTTCCAACTTGGAACAATCACAAAGCTCCTATAAACATTCACATGTAAATCTTTATGTGCATATGTTTCCATTCCTCTTACATTAATACCTAAGAGGAGAACTGCTAGGCTATATAAGTGTTTGCTGAATAATGTAAGAAACTGTCAAAACTATTTCCCAAAGTGTCTGTATCATTTTGCATTCCCGCAACAGATAAGAATTCCAGTTGTTCCACTGGAACAAAAGTCAGTATTTTCAGCCTGTTTAATTTAGCCTTCCTAATGCGTATGTAGTATTATCTCAGTGTGTTTTTAATCTGCACTTACCTAATGTTTAATGATGTTGAACATCTTTTTATATACTTATTTGCCATTGTCTGTCTTCTTTAATGAAGTCTCTGTTCAAATCTTTTGCTTACTTTTAATGGGGTTTTTGTCTTTTGGGGTTGCACTATTGAAATATTAAGAATGCTCTCTCAGATATATGGGTTTAAGATTTTAGTAATTATTTATTTGAGAGAGAGAGAATGAGCAGGGGGTGGGGAGAGGGAGAGGACAGGGGACAAGCAGACTTACAGCTGAGCATGGAGCCTGACATAGGGCTCAATCCCAGAACTCTGAGATCATGACCTGAACCAAAATCAGACACTTAACCGACTGAGCCACCCAGGTGCCCCATCAGATATATGTTTTACCAATATTTTCTCCCAGTTCATGGCTTGTTTTTTGGCATTCTTTTAAAGGACAAAAGTTTTAAATTTTGATAAAGTCAAATTTATCAGTTTTTTAAGTGTTTTGTGCATTTGGTACCCTAAGAAATCTGCCTAACACAGGGTTACAAAGATTTTCTCCTCTATTTTCTTCTAGGTGTTTTGTTGTTGTAACCCTTATATTTGGGTCTATGGCCCATTTGGAGTTAATTTTTGTGTATGGTGTGAAGTATCATGTTTTTCCATATGGATATCCATTTCTTCATCATTTGTTGAAAAAGCTATCCTTCCCTCCACTGAATTACCTTGTTAAAAATAAGTTGCTGGTCTATTCATAGACTCTCTTTCTGTTGAAGTGATCTACAGTGTCTATCTTTCCATCAATATCTCACTGTCTGATTACTATATCTTATGGTAAGTCTTGAAATCAGTTTATATCCTCCAACTTTGTTCTTTTTCAAAATTGTTTTATCTATTCTAGGTCCTTTGTATTTCCATGTAAATTTTAGAAATCAGTTTACCAATTTCTAAAAATTTCTAACTGGGATTTTTTTATTGGAATTACACTGAATCTATACATCAGTTTAGGAAGAATTTACGTGTTAACACTATTGAGTTTCCCTATTTATGAAAATGGTTTATTTCACCATTTATTTGTTTTCATTAATCTCTTTTACTTTCCATAGTAAGAGTGTATAAATCTTGCACATATTCATTCATATTGCACAGATTCATTTAACCCTAAATACTTCACATTTTTATGCTAATTGTAGTGGTATGTTTTGATAATTTAGATTTTTTTACTGTTCATTGCTACTATATACAAATACAATTGATTTTTTTATATTGACTTTGTGTCCTGCCTGTGACCTTGCTAAATCTACTATTTCTAGTAGATTTTTGCTGGATTTCTTAGGATTTTTTATGCCATCAGCTAAGAAAGAGTTTTACTTCTTCCTTTCAAATCTGCTTGCCTTTTCTTTTTTTCTTTTCTTATTGCACTGGCCAACAATCCAGTGTGATGTCAAACAGAAGTAATGAGTACAGACATCCTTGATTTGTTTCCAGTATCAAGGGAAAATCATTCAATCTTTCTCATTAAGTATGATGCTAACTGTGGATTTTTAATAAACGCCCTTTATCAAGAAAATCAAGTTATACCTTCTATTTCAAATTTGCTGGATTTTTATTATAAATGGATGTAGAATTTTTTCAAATGCTTTTTCTGCTTCTACTAAAATTATCATAAGGTTTTTAATTTAGTGAACTACATTGATTTTTTTAATGTTAATTTTAAATGTAATTAGTTTTGTTTTTTTTTAAATTTTATTTATTTGACAGAAAGAGACACAGCAAGAGGGGGAACACAAGCAGCGGAAGTGGGTGAGGGAGAAGCAGGCTTCCTGCAGAGCAGGGAGCCTGATGTGGGGCTCGATCCCAGGACCCTGGGATCATGACCTGAGCCAAAGGCAGACACTTAACGACTGAGCCACCCAGGCGCCCCTAAATGTAATTAGTTTTAAAGTTAAACTAATCTTACATTCCCGGGATAAACCCTATTAGTCATGAGATGCGTGCACGCGCACACACACACGCACACACACACAGAGTTTACTAAATTTTTTTAAGGTTTTTGCATCTAAGTTCATGAGAAATATTGATCTGTTTTGTCTTTATTTTTTTTAATTTCTTTTTTTCTGCACCTTTGCAGTCTCTACGAACACAGTGTGTAGCACTAAGAATGAAAGGAAATCAAGTTGTGAAAATCACTGTTGCCTAAATAATGCTTCCAGTGCCACCAAACACTGTGTTTCCCTGGCTTTGGCTATAATGGGAAGCAATTTCAATAGTCTTTCAGATATAAGTACAATGCTTTTTATACTTTCTTAAAAATCTTGTCTGCAACTAAATACCCCACTAGCCAACAGGAATATATAAAACTGATTTCTGGCAGTGATGCTAGAATGTTTCCCCTCAGCCCTGTGCCTTTGCTCTGGTCAGGCCACAAGATAAAGGTGAGAGAGGTACAGAAACATGACTTACTGTTCATGAAGTATTTTTATTCTCTTTTCTTTTTTTGAAAAATATAAGCTTATAACAATAAGCTTAAGCAATAATATAAAAGATACATAAAGGAAAAAATACTGCCCCCATTCCTTGTAAATAAGAAAACCAAATATTAGCACTGTTGCGTTGCTCTGCTGTAAACTAATGGAGGGCAAGAGCCCTGTCTCTCTTTCTCCATTGTTTCCGTCAGGAAAGACTAATACAAACAATTCCAAAGCATCTAGCATGGTGCCTGACACATTTTGGGCACTTAGAAAACATTTATGGGAGGAAGGAAAGTGTTGAATTCACACCTGCGTTACTATGACTCCTTGGCAAGTTTAATACTGACTGCTTTATCTGTGTAAACAAGGGGAAATGTCATTCTCCTTAAAGCCATTCACTGTCTCATGAGCTCATTCTGTTCCTTCCTCCTCCTGTGTCTTTGTTCCTTGAGGCCTTCCTTCTCTATAATCTGCCTCATCTATAAGAACTCCCTTCTACAGGGAGGCTGTCTTCAAACTCTTTCTGAGGATCCAACAGCATTTATAAACTCTGCCACACTATTTAGCATTTAATCCACAGTGGATTCTACCCCTTTGCTAGCACCCATCACTGTCCTGGGCATATAGCTCCTTAAAACTTCAGTTGCAACTGGACCAATGTTTCATGGCAAGACTCTTCATGAAGCCTGAAGTATAGCCTCAAGATTTGTTATGAAAATCATTGGGTGTAAGGAACAACAAACTGGGAAAAACTAGAAAATGAATCTCAAAGCTATTAAATACCAGAATGATTTTTGTTAGGTGAACACATGTATTACCCCACCTGAGGCGGAAGTCAACAGACTTTCTTTGGTGTTTTCTATTTCTATGGATCCATATATGTACTTTACCAACTCAGACCTTTGGAGCTTCAGAGAAAAGGGAAAGAAACTGTTGTGTCCCTATAGTTAGTTTGAAAACAATATCTGAATAGCTCTCACCACGGTCTGCATCCATTTTAATGGAGAAACAGTTAATTCTAGGACTAAAGCAGAGAACATACAAGATGAACCTGGAGCATCTTATAATATCCCAGAAAGTAAAGCACTCAAAAAACAAAACAATGAGGTTATGTCAAAGGGATACGGGAGCCAACTGAAAGAGCTCCCTATGGCCAAAGCTGGAAGGATTTGAGCAATGAAATAATGTAGTGCTGGATTATAGCCCAAAGAATAAAAAAAATTTTTAAAAAACCCATGAGTTCCTTCAGATATAATTAGGTGACTGAATAAATGAGGGGGGGGGGGGAGACAAATTTCCCATGGAGAATTCCAAATAATACTCTGCCCTACCCCTTAAGTGTGGACTACACTGAGTGACTTGCTTCCAAAGAGTACAGCATGAAGAGGGAGGGAAGTAACTTTACAGGGGGAAAAACCTGGCAAAGGCTGCCTTAGCTGAGTAACTGAGATTAACATTATCAGTGGCAAGGCCTGTTGACAGTATGTACCCTTGATATATGTGAAGAGAGAATGACACTTCACTTCTGTGGTCTTCCTCCCAAAAACCATAACCACAGTCTATGAGGAAAACAGATCCCAACCGAGGCACAGTCTACAAAATATCTGACCAGTCCTCAAAACTATCAAGGTCATTGAAAACAAAGAATGTCCAAGAAATTGTCACAGCCCCCAGGAGTCTAAGGAGACATGACAACTAAATGTAATAGGGTATCCTGGAGGAGATCCTGGGACAGAAAAAAAGGACATTAAGCAGAACTAGTGAAATCCGAATAAAGTACGGAGTTCAACTAATATCACTACCGTTTCATTCATTACCGGAGGTTTCCAGACGTTACCAAAACTGGATGTGGGGTATATGGAAACCTATGTACTATCCTTTTACTTTTTATGTAAATCTAAAATTCTTCTAAAATAAAAGGTGTACTTAAATATTTCTAAAATACAGTCTGGGCACCAGGTGATTACATGCTTATCTCCACAACTGTGCTTTTAATTACAGGGTGCTGGTGACAGTTTTGTGGGGGCTTTGGCCTTCTACCTGGCTTACTACCCAAGTCTGTCCTTGGAAGAAATGCTCAAGAGATCCAATTTCATCGCGACGGTCAGTGTCCGGGCTGCAGGAACACAGTCTTCTTATCCGTACAAAAAAGACCTGCCACTTGATCTGTTTTGATTGCTACTAACCCTAAAATAAATGTACCTGGAAATAAAATGTACTTGGGGGAGGGAGGTGGCCTCTCTTAGCTAGCCGCTTACTATAAAATATCCTCTTCTCCTTTTTTCGCAAATATGTTCATTTGTGAAGTCATCCTCAGCCTTTACTCTCTTATAATAATTTCTTCGCTTTTCACGTATTTGCAAGAGCCAGCCAAAATGAAGGATTCCATGACCAGGACCTGTACAAACATTACCACGATGAGGAACCAGCAAACTCACCTGCCAACAGATCATGAATGCTGTATGTCCACCACAGGGCAGGGCTTGTGGACAAACAATGTCTAGAGTCCGAGCAGAGAATGTTAAATAAGGAAGGGTCACATGAATTGGACTGTTCAAGCAGCTCCTAAGAGAGACAGTTGATACTCAGCATTGGTGTTGTCAAAGCTTCTGTTTTGCGAGAGAAGCCAGAAGTTTGGATGTTTATTGAAATTTTTTCAATGTTTAAGTATCAGCAATTGATTTTTGAAAAATGTAAACACCACCTGTGGGCCACATTCAGCTCATGTGCTGAACAGACAAGTCATTTGTTAAGCCAGATTTTAAGTTGTTGTTTTGCTTTTTTTTAATGGCGATTCATTTATGTCACAGACCCTTTATAGCAGGCTTAGCTAGGACCAGGTGAAGGATTTTTCTTGTAACCCAAAACCACTATGCATAGTTTCAACCAAAAAATAGCCAAGATCTCACCTATTATTGCTTTGAACCAAAGCTGTTTAACAAAAGATGCCAGAAAATAGCTGATCGACTCTAATGCCACAAGCCCCCGAAACTCAACAACTGTCTACATCTAATTCAGAAAGCTACACTTGCATGTCCTCCATAGACAGGCTGGGCCATGGAGAGGGAACACCTGTTACCTTGAAACATTGGTTTCATCCTTCTTGAGGCCATGGTTTGAGAATATGGACCAATGGCATTTTTTTCTAATTATATAAGCACAAAACAGAAGTTCTCGTGGGTTTTTTTTGTGTGTTACAAGGCTGGCCCCCTTATTCCTGTTCACCGTTACCCTCTCTGTTATTACATGGGAGTTTTTTCAAGATCACTCCGGAGAGTGACTCTGCCTTTCCTATGAGGTACAAAGAGGAGCAGACTGGAAAGTCTTGCACAAGTTTCATTATGGAAACTTTCTTTTATACGAACAATGGTTATTCTTCAGTAATGTAGTTGCTTTTTATTTCAAAGAGTGGGGGGGGAAACATCACCAAGAGACAATAGCACAGGCTATTTTAATATTTTTTATTAAGGGCTATAAAAATATCCAGAGAGATAAATAAATGTGATGCAATGATATATGTCCTAATATGAAGAACTTTCTTTCAGTACATTGTTTTTCTTCACAATGGCCTTCAAATCACAGGAGGCAGTGATTCCATGCCATTTCCTCTTCTTTTATTACATGCTGCACAATTTCTGAATCAGTATCCCACCCTCAGTATTCTCATTTATAAATCAAACTCGTTTTCAATCCATTGTTTAGAGGGAACGTATTTTCTTCTGTTCCACAAAGAGGACTTTTGTTTTCACTGTAAGAGAAAAATGGGTTGTAGCAGAAAACTAAACCATCACCATTTTTAAATAAAAATACGTATCAGACCACAAGCACTCTCCTTTCTCTCCTTTTACTATTCCTCTGACATGGGAATGGAAGAGATTGGCAAACTCAGTTCCTTGATCCCAGAGGCCAGAGACACCTAGAGAAAATGGGAAGGTAATCAAGGGAAGGCTCACCAGCTGATCAATGGCATCTTTGGTACCCCACAAGGTTATTTCTCCCCCAATGTGAAATATCCAAATCAAAAAACAAAACTAGGAACAAAACATGGAAAACATTCAATGTCTTCACTCAGTTAATGAACATTCTTGCAGGAGATGAGCAAGACCAGACTGAGAGCTGGACTCCAGAGAAAAAAGCAACAAGAACTGAGCAGACCAAGGAAGAAAAGGCAGTCTGGCTAGAGGACTAAATACACATCAAATCGTGTACTTTCCAGAGATGGCTTAATACCCAAATATGGATTTTCTAGTATGGTAATAGAATGAAAACTATAACCAAAATTTCATTATTGAAAATAACATAACAGTACAGCTCTCTGAAACAAAACCGAAAGTACTAATTGCCTGGGGCGCCTAGATGCCTCAGTCAGTTGAGCATTCAACTCTTGGGTTTCAGCTCAGGTCATGATCTCAGGGTCAGAGATCGAGCCCTGCTTCGGGCGCCGTGCTCAGCCCAGAGTCTGTTCAAGATTCTCTCTCCCTATCCCTTCCCCTCTACCACTCCCCCAACTAATGTGCGTGTGTGCGCATGCACGCACACCCACACGTACTCTCTCTAAATAAATAAAAATAAAATCTTTAAAAAAGTACTAATTGCCTGGATGAAAGATCAGAGATTGGATGCTGGGCAGTAAGGTTTTCACAGTTCCTATAATGCCTTATAGTACTCCCCAATTAAAAAAACAGTAATAATAGGAAGATTAATTTGGCTCCATGTCATAGAAAAAATAGGGAGCCTGAAGTTGAAAAGACTGGGTTTAAACCCTGGCTCTACCATTTATATCTGCTGTGAGGCCTTGGGCAAATTTCTCAAAATGTTCTGCCTTCGCTTCCCTAGGAGGGGGGGTAACTCCATCTCCCTCACAGGGTTGTTGCTGGATATACAATTGAATTGAAATGACATACTGCTATCCATAATCATAAACATAAATTAATTTTCTGTCAAAATATTTGCTGCCTAATTCATAGAAGAATGAATCTGTCAAGTTCTCTCCTTACATCTAACCTAAATCTATTCTGCTTCAATTAAAGTCTATATTGTCTTGTTTAGTCATCCAAGGAATCAAAACTGACAAGTTTTCATTTTCTTTATAAGCCTTCATACATTTGGCAAAGTTTAATAAGCTTACGCCTCAGCCTTTAATCCTTCCTCCTTGGAAATTAGCATCTAGTTCTTTATGAGGAAAAGGAGTTTGAAAAGACAGAGGCTGGTTCTAGCCAGAGTATACTATGAATGCTCAGATAATTGGGAACTTTTCTGTGTCTTTACCTGATTTCCTTTAAAAGCAGACTAACAAAACATTACCCTTAAACTAATCATTTACTCACTGCAGTAACTTCTGCTGGGAGGACTGCCAAGCTATTTGGTACCTTGGGCATTGGGGCAGGCCCACGGCGATTATCATGCTAGCCTGTGGGACATTCAGTAGGTGGGCAGAAAGCCAGACAGTCCACTATCCCAGAACATTCTCTTCTTCAGAAAAGACAAAGTTGTGCTGTCAAGGCTTAGGCCATTCCTTATCAGAAAAGTTCTAGCAGTCTGTTTGAAATTTATATATGAGTCTTCTCTCCCACTTTCAATTAGGATCAGAATTGTTCATGGTTGTTCTTTCCCAATCTCAAAACTTAAAATCAATCTGACAAATAATAAGTTCCTAACACGTCTATACTAAGGATGAAAATCCTGATACATTTTCACACTGAAAATATAAAAGGTCATTCAAGTAACATTAATGTTGTACAAGTTCCTAAAAATAAACTCTAAAGGAGCTAAATGCTAGAAAAACAATTACTTTAAAGTTCATCACTTTGAGTTTTCACCAGCTGATACAAATAAATCAGAGGGAGAGAAGTATCACACCAACTCCGTATCATATTGCTATGGTCTGAAAATTTGTACCCCCCTGCCCCAAATTCAGATGTTGAAATCCTAACCCCCCAAACACAATGGTATTAGAGGTGGGGCCTCTGGGAGGTGCTTTGGTCATGAGGGTGTGTTCATGAATGGGATTAATGCATTATAAAAGACCCCACAAGCTTGCTTGCCCTTCCACTATGTGAGGACACAAGAAGGCACAGGCTACGAGCCAGAAGGAGGGCCCTCCCCAGAAAGCAACCATGCTGGCACCTTGATCTTAGGACTTCCCAGGCCCCAGAACTCAGAAATAAATTTCTGTTGTTTACAAGCCACCTAGTCTGTGGTATTTTGTTATAGAAACCCAAAAGGACTAAGACACATACCCTATCATTCTAATAATTTTTCTACCATATGAGGTATCATTCTGAAATTCAGACTCCCAATCATCAGGTACAAACCTAGAATTCCTTTTATATTATGATAAAAGAACAACCAGAAATTATAACACCATAAAAACAGCAGGGAATTTTATTCTTGTTAAAGAATGGAAACTATCCAATTTTATAACTGGGCTTCTCAGAGCCATTTTTATATGCCTCCTCACACTGGTACAGACCTTTTTTTTTTTTTTTGAAGGTGATATTATTTTTATTTTTCTTAGCCATTGATGAATGCAGCATAATGAATGGTTCAACAGTGGCTGTGAGACCTTCTGCACCAGCTCTGAAGGCAGCTATGAATGTAGCTGTTAGCCAGGATTTGCACTAATAGCCTGCCCAGAAGTCATGCACTGGTAGGTAGGTTTTAGCCTCCTGCGAAACCTCTCATTAATAGGTCCCTACATAGAGTGATTTAGGGCCCGGGCACTGGAGTCTGACGGTCTTGAGTTCAAATCTTTGTAACATATTTTAGCGGTGTGTCCCCGATTAAGATCCTTGGCATCAGATTCCTCATCTATAAAAGAGAGATTGCCTGGAGAGTACAGGTACTTGTGCTCATAACATCTGAAGATACAAGACTTGTGTAGGTAAGCAAACAAGACAGAATTTCCCATTTTGTCTAATTATTCACAAACACTAGTTCGTCTCCTTTCTTTCAGGGCCACTTTTATTGCCTATACTGTCCTTTTGTTGTTTCCAGGGAGAAGGGAGATTCGGTTCCTATTATTCCATCTTGGCCAGAAATAAGAGTCTATGAGTCCTTATTCTTAGTTAATAAAAAAGCTGATTATGAGGTTAAGTATCTGTATTTCATTATATAATGGATTAGTTTTGGGAAATAGGATTCCGGTACCAATTCAATTCTGATCACCAATTGGGTATCTTACAATTCAACTCAATTGTGCTCTTTTTGTGCCCAGCACAGCCATGGCTTGTGGTCCCAAGAAGTATCCGAAGCATGTGACCGCTCCAAAGCACCGGATGCTGGATAAACTGACTGGTTGTTTGCTCCTCGTCCATCTACTGGTCCCCGTAAACTGAATGTCTCCCTCTCATCATTTTCCTAAGGAACAGACTTAAGCATACCCTAACAGGAGATGAAGTCAAGAAGATCTGTATGCAGTGTTTTAGTAAGACTGATGGCAAGGTCCAAACTGATATAATCTACCCAGTTGATTTTATGGATGTCATCAGCACTGACAAGACTGGGGAGAATTTCCGTCTGATGTAGGATACAAAGGGTCACACTGCTGTTCATCATAGTACACCTGAGGAGGCCAAGTAGAAGCTGTGCAAAATGAAGAAGATCTTTGTGGGGACAAAAGGAATCCCTCACCTGGTGACCCATGATGCTCACACCATCTGCTATCCTGATCCCCTCATCAAGGTGAAGGACACCATTCAGACTGATTTGGAGACTAGAAAGATGACTGATGTCATCAAGTTAGACACTGGTAATCTGTGTATGGTGACTGGAGGTGCTAACCTGGGAAGAAGTGGTGTGATCACAGAGAAAGACACTCTGGTTCTTCTGATGTAGTTCACATGAAAGATGCCAATACAAGAGCTTTGCCACTGGCTCTCCAACGTTTTTGTTATTGGCAAAGGCAACGAACCATTGTTTCTCTTCCCCGGGGAAAGGGTATCTGCCTCACCACTGCTTAGGAGACAGACAAGAGACTGGCAGCCAGAGCAGTGGTTAACATGGTCTGTAGGTGATGTGACTGATAGTCTTTATACTTAAAAATAACACAACACGATTAAAAAAAAAAAGAAGAAAAATCCTGATACCAGCTACCAGCGATTAGTAACTGAGGAGCAGCCAGATGGAAGTGACGCATAGGGCAGGTATGGGGAAGGGGCGCACAGCCTCTACGCCCTCTCCCAGCAGGTCACTCTCCCACAGTCACTACACGGTCACCAACCCAGAAGCTCCAGTACAGTTCTTATTAAGAAGCAATTATCAAGAGGCGATTCAGAATCAAGGGCACAAAAATGAAACGAATGGCCTGAAGTTTTAAAATAAATAATTTGTTTGCTAGTTTACTTTATATGAATCTGCTCATGAAATCCAAAAACAAAATTAGGCTTCTACCAATAGTAATCAGCTGCTGTCTTTTGTTTGTAAGCAGGCAATCTGGCCTTGGGAACACTTACCTCTTTTGGACAAATACTTCTATCTACTGAGACCATTTATTTATTTTTTTTAAGATTTTCATTTATTTATTTGACACAGAGAGCTAGCAAGAGAGACAGCACAAGCAGGGGGCGTGGCAGGCAGAGGGAGAAGCAGGCTCCCCGCTGAGCAGGGAGCCCGATGTGGGACTCGATCCCAGGACCCTGGGATCATGACCTGAGCCGAAGGCAGACGTTTAACTGACTGAGCCATCCAGGTGCCCCTCTACTGAGACCATTTAAAGTTACCATTTATTATGGCATTTTAGCAGAGGGTACAAAATGGAAATAACATACAGTTATATTATTTCTGCACTAATATATAGATACCATACTTTAATTCAAATCTGGACCTAACCGCTTGCCACTGTTAGACGATCCCAGGAGAATATTCTCTCACCATCTAAAGACACTCTTTTCTTTCTGTTTCCTGAACAGTATCACCTGCTCTCTTTATATGGCTGGTTCTTTCCTACCTAAAGAATAGGATAAAGGTGGAATCTGCCTTTCCCCACCTTTATGCTATATCTCAGCATCCTGCTTGTGTCTCTCAAAGCACTGAGCGGAACATCATTTTTTCTTTCTTTCTCTCCCTTCCAAACTGGACTGTAAATACCCAGAGTGCAGAGACTGAGGCTGACTGTGTCCTGGTGTATCCCAACACCTGGGACAGTAACTGGCACTATAGTAAATATTCAATACTCACTGGCTGACTGAATGCTACAGAGTCAAACGGACCACAAAACTGCCAAGACATGTAGAGCATCAGTCTGGAAAGGGCAACAGGCCTTGAAAGCACTTGAATTTATTGTGGAGTAATTTCTCTGAATCTTACCAATTGGATCATAATGCAAGAGAGTCAGTTTCTCCCGTAGTCGGCTTCTCTTAGTGTTGAAGGAGTAACCTGTCCCAGCTTGGCTCAGCATTTTCACCAGAATGGTTCTAAGATTTAAAAATAAGCTATTACAAGCTGAGGAAATAGACTAAAATCAATCATGGGAGGATGGCACATTTTGAAAACTTTGTACAGTAGTATTAGTTGTGGGATATCACTTAGCCCTAAGAAGGTTCAGTTCTAAGACAGCCTACATTTGCCATAAACCACAGTTTCAATGGCTCTGATTCCCAAGGTCTGTTTGATTACAGAGTGCCTTGGTAATCAACTAACCAATCAACAAAATCAAACCACATGTGGGAACAGACTCAGACACCCACCACTTAGAAGGAGCAGAAGTCAGGAAGGGGGAAAATACAAAAATACTGGCAACCCTAGCTGGCCAGTCAGGAAATCGTAAAGATAGCTATATCAAAAGAGCCCTATCTTCCAGGATGTGCAATAGGAGTACAATCAGAAGAGACAAAATAAAAAGATTGGAACTTTTACACTGCTAACACGTAAAACCCTGCTCCCCTTCATATTTCGATTAACTTATAGTCATTCAAAACATAAAGTTCATGTTTTGCCTCACTAGACCCTTTAATACCTTATACTGTTATTTTTCATGTGCCTGGCTTCCCTATGTAGACCATGCTATTTATTTCTCATCTAATTCCAAAAAGAATTTGTAGCATCTACAAATACATTACACATCTTTGCCTCCCTTTCAATGTCCAGCACAGTGCCTCATACATAAGAGGCACACAATATGTTAATTAAGAAAGACAACAGTCATTCATTCAAAAAGATTCAACAAATACATATTAAGTGCTTACTCTGTGGAATGCACTATGGGAAAGCAAAGCTCTGTAAGGCTGCCCCTCCCAGGAACCAACCCCTCCCTCTCCAGGAACCAACAGTTTAGTATGGAAGGTGAGTTGTGCAGACAAGGTCTATAAGGCAAGACATATTTGACAGATGTCACAAGAAGGATACAAAGAAAATAAGAGGCAGGGAGTACCTCTAAAGAAACCAAAGGCATAGGAGATTCCTATAGAACCTGGAGGTGGGGAATTCTAACATAAATAACTGGACTGTGGGAAAAGCAGTATGAATAAAAGCTATCTGAGAGAAAACACTAACTTACATGTTTTTCATTAACTTTAATCCAAAAAACGTAGTTTTATGATCTGTGATGTGTCTTGGGTTGTAAGCAACGGCTGCTTTAGAATGTTTTTTTTTTTTCTAGAAAAGAATTTTCCTATTTTTAACACAGAAAATCCTACTTCAGTTATTGTCTACAAAATGTATTTTGAGATCAGTTTGGTATTTATAGCCTCTCTGGTACAGCACAGAATCGTTAATCTGCTATTTTTGAAATGCTTATTCCATGAATGCAAAGGATTACAAAACTCATTAGAACTGACTCTGTAGTTCAATCAAATCAAAGCTTGTTCAGCCAGACTCCTGTAGTGGGCTCCAGACAAATGGCCCTCAGTCCTCCCTCTGAGGAAACAGAAATATGATGGTAGTCCAAAGAGAGCATGGGAACCCTGATGGTTTGTTTAGGAACAAGACAGCAAGAGCTCCTTCAATTATTTGAACACTCACTTAAGTAGGTCAGTTGGGCAGGAGGGAAAATTTTTTTGAAAGAGTTCACAGAACCAAAACAATTCACCAAGTAAGTAATCCTCAAACCAACTTTCAGAAAATCGAGACCAAATGCTTAATTTAACATAAGGATGTACTGGCAGGGGCTGGAAAAACAAACCAAACATAAACAAGTAAAGTTAAAAAAAAAAAGAAAAACCTTACTTACTTTGACTTGCTCTTGGCAACTTTCTCGCAGAGAGGAAGGTTGAAAGAGAAAAGAAAATAGCAACTTATTATCTTTCTTATGCAAAGTTCATATAAATGTAATAAACATGTAAGTGACAAAGTAGGCCATGGGTTGTCGCTCAAGTAACTACTCCCTAGCTTGTAGGGATTCCCCTAGGATTCTAGAAAGAAGAAAAAGATCCAATAAGAGCAACACAATTCTGGATGTAATGCTTTTGTACAATTTCAGTTGCACCGGTTACTTTTCAAATCTAAGATCCGCTCCACATGTTCCTCTTCCAAGGTCCAAAAATTGCACTGGAACAAGCCACTGGTCTGACAAGTTAACCTATGCACTGCAACAACCATCACATCAGGTGGAGGGGAAACTAACCTAGAAGTTGGCCTGGTGCAGGGAAGAGGGCGGCCTTGGGGAGCCAGACACTTCCTTCCCAGCCCAGCTGTATTGACTTAGGGTAAGTCACTGCCCTTCTCAAGCCATTTCCTCATCTTCAGGGTTCGAAACGAGTGAACTAAAAATTCTGAGAGTTTTTTCCCCAGTTAGGACGTGCAGGGATTGTGCTACCACATCCGTACGGAGGACGGGAGAAAGCGCCCCACTGCTGCTGACCAGCCTCGACTACCCCTGTCTCGGACCGCAACGGGACCGAGAACTAGCGCCGCAGAACCCCAAGCACCACTCGCCCCGCAAAGTCGTGCGCCGCGAGGCATGCCGGACGCTGTAGTCCAGAAGGCCTGGAGAGTCGCAGCGGCAGCTTCCCGGCCGGCGCGCGCCCCCGGCCCCGCACCGTCCCGACGCCTTCCTCCCGCCCTCGCCGCAGGCCCTGCCGCCGCCTCCGACCCCACTTACAGGTGACCGCGGATAGGAACATGGTGACAACACCCACGCAGTCTCCTAAACGGGACCAAAGTCGCTCAGCAAACAACTGCTTCCGGGGCACAGGCCTGTTCCGGAAGAGGACGTCGGGTAGCTGCCTGAAGCCACGCCCCCCGCATAAGCCTCCAGTTCCGACGCCACCTGTCTTGGGTTCTTCAGAGGCCAGGCGTTTTACTTTTGTGGTGCTGGAGGTTGAAGTCCCCTTCCCTGGCAGAGTTTAAAGCGCTCAGGTTCACGCCCCAAGCCCTGCCTCTTACTTCTGGGTCAGAGTTAGGTCATTCCATACTTGTTTCACTAAATAATCGCCATCACCTGCATTAAAGCCACAGGAACTGTATGTGTTTCTCAGCTGCTCCAGGCTACTAGGCTCCCCCACACGTTCCTTAAAATGTTGCCTTCTTTTGCCTCTCCCGGTCCAGCTTCATCTCCACCTGGTTAAGAGCTGCTTTCAGTACCTTTGGAGTTAGAACCCCCACCTGAATATCCCCCATTCCTTAATTACCTGTTGGATTTCTAGGAGAGCAGCACCTTGTGCATCTTGTGTTAACTGCTATATCCGAGCAACTAGTGCCTGCAAGAGGGGCTGAATAACAGATGCGGGGCGCTCACATAACTATCCTAATGTCACAAAACTAGTCAATGGCAGAGTCAGAATTCCAACCCAGGTCTTGTCTGACTGCCAAGACTCATGCCTTTCCCACTAGACACTGGGACCTACTACTGATATGCCTCTTCAATTCTTCATGTCTCTCTGCAAGAACCTGGGCTCTTTCAACACCAAGAACTTCATCTGTAACCTCATTTCCCAACTAATAATAGGACTTTCGAATTTTTTCCTAAGCTATGATTTTGTCTATATATTAAATCTTACAAACATGTGAAAATTCAATCTCATGGATTATCTTCACAAAAAGTAATAAAATTATTTGAAAGAAAATTTAACTCTTCAATACAATTCATTTTTTTTTTAATTAGGACTGTCCTTGCCCTTAGTGCCTTACAATTTTTTAACCCTCTAATGATTTTTGGTCCTCTAATAACCTGACTCTTAACAATTGAGCATCCTCTAAGTGCCCAAATCCTTTACCTTGTGCAATTCATCTGCTGACAAAGAGTTTTAGGTGTTCAAGAAGGTCAGGTTTCTTATCTAAGAAATTCCTTTAGAGGATATACAAGAAAAGTACATAGAACTGGAAGCCAAGACACATGAATTTGAGCCTTTGTTCTGTCCTTTGGAAAGTCTTTCAACTATTCACACCTCAGTTTCATGCCCAGTGGGGCATTGGATCAGTGGTTCTCATCCCTGATGATATATCAGAGTTGCCTGTGGTCTTTTAAAAAATCCATTTGCCACCCGTGAGGCCCAGAGTCTGTATTTTCCCCAAGTTTTCTATAGCATTTCAAACATATCAAAAACTTGAAAGGATAGTACAGTGAACACACCATATGCCCAATTCAACAAATGTTGACATTCTGCTATGTGTTCTGAATAAATAAGTATATTTTATATATATATATATATTTTTTGCTAAGCTGTGTGAAATTAAATTGCAGATATCACAACCCTTCACCCCTACACATTTAAGTAGGTATCTGTCAAGACTAAGATTATAACTATAATACTATTTTCACTCCTAAAAAAAATTAACAAGTTTCCTAATTATCTAGTCCATATTCAAATTGTCTTTTCTAGCTGGTTTCTTCAAAAACAGTATCCAATCAATGAATTAAGACAACATCTTTCTCTCTCTCAGAATCTGGCATCAAACATTTGCCTCCCTCCTTCCTCCTTTCCATAGAAGCCACTCTGGTGAGAGCCCCAGTGACCCCAACGGCACCAAGCCCCGTGGTCAATTCTTGAGCCTTATGTTCCTCAGCATCGATCAGTATTATTTTACACAGTGGCTCACTCCTCCCTGAAAAATTTTCTTCACCTGGTGTCCAGGTAGCCACTCTCTTGGTTCTTCTCCTTCCTCATCAGCAATTCTTTCTCTGTTTTCACCTCACCCACCCTTCAGTGGAGGCCTGCCCAGGGCTCAGTCCTTGGATCTCTTCTCTGTCCACACTCCTTCCTTTGGTGGTCACAGCTAGTTTGGGTTTTGAAAAATCTAGGGGCTGAAGATTTCTAAATTTATATCTCCAGTCTCAACCTTTCCTCTGGATTCCAGATTGGCATATTTAACTGCCTACTTGACAGCATATGTCCAAAATCAAATTCCCAAACTTGCTCTGTATCCCTAAGGCTTCTCCCATACCTAAGGCTTCCCCCATACCAGTGTGTGGCAATTCCATTTTTTCAGTTGCTCAAGTAAAAAGCCCAGGAGCCAACTTGACACCTCTTTCTCTCATGCCCTATATGTAATCAATCAGTAAATTCTATCATTCAAATGTCACCTAATCAATGAAGCCTTCCCTGGCCACAGAAGGAAAGTAACACACACACACACTCTCAATCTCTCTCCCTATTCTCCTTACTTCACTTTATATTTTCCTACATCACTTCTCACCATTGAATATTTTGTGTGTGTATTTGTTGATTTCCTTATTATCTGTCTTTGCCCACTACAATGTAAAGTTCCTAAGATCAGGAACTTTGTCTTATTCACTCACTGCTCTATCCTGGTGCCTAGAACAGTGCCTACCACACATATTGACTAGCTGCTGAATGAACTGAATAAATGAATCAGAGATGAGAGGCACCATACAAATGTTAAATTATTAATAAACATGTTTAAATGGCAAACAATGATAAGTGTGTACTAATAGTTCAGGGTTCAGGAGAACTTATAAGCTTGTGGGGGGCTTCGGGTTTTTGTTTTTTCTTTTTTTTTTTTTTTAGAGAGAGAGAGTGTGTGTGTGTGTGTGTGTGCACTGAGCAGGGAGGGGCAGAGGGTGAGAGAGAATCTTAAGCAGGCTCCATGCCTAGCATGGAGCCTGATGCAGGGCTCAGTCTCACAACCCTGAAGTCAGGGCCCTGAGATCATGACATGAGCTGAAATCAAGAATCAGACACTTAACTGACTAAGCCACCCAGGCGCCCCTATAAGCTTGTTTTTAAAAAGATATAGCGGGGGGCACCTGGCTGGCTCAGTTGGGAAAGCATGTGACTCTTGATCTCCAAGTCATGAGATCAAACTCTACATTGGATGTAGAAATTACTTAAATAAGTAAAAAAAATTTTAGAAAGAAATATCGGGGTGCCTGGGTGGCTCAGGTGGTTGAGCATCTGACTCTCGATCTCCACTCAGGTCTTGATCTCACAGTCATGAGTTTGAGCCCCACACTGGGCTTTGCACTAGGCATGGAGCCTACTTAAAAAATAAAAAATAAATAAAAAGAGATAGCATAAGAACTATCTCTTGAAATTCCTGGATGGAGTAGAAAGGAAGCAGCGGCTTTCTAGTCTCATTACTTCAACCTGCATCCACCTGTTATTTACATCTAACACTTTGTTGGCAGTTGGTAAGTGTTAATTAAAATGTTTATTAATACAGATGCGATTCATGATTTGGGTTTTGGGGTGTTTTTTTTTTTTTGCCTGAATTTACATAATGAGCCCTCTGTGCCTTATTAAAGTGTAGAATAATTAGAGAATCCTGGCAACCCAAGCAGAAGGGGTGAAGACCCTAGAGGAGGGGCACGCATCTCTTTGGGGGGGGGTGCTGAGTGGGGGATACAGCTGTTTCACCTGGATTGTCAGCCCAGGAAAGCAGATGGAGGAGAACATTTATTGAACATCTACTCTCACAGAGCTTTAGACACAGTGTCTGTGTTACATCAGTTAATACTGCATTCCCAGTGCTTAGCATTGGGATTCAAACCCCAGATCCAGAAGCTATTCCCCTCCTCTCCTGTTCTGGGAGGTCCCTGACTGTCCATTGCCCAGCCCACTGTCATACCTATGTCTCACCTGACTTATGGTTGGGAAGTACAGCCACTATTCTTATCTACAGGGTCAGTGACTTGTTCTAGGGGCCTGGGAACGTGGGCGGGGTGGGGAAGGAGACTCTACAGGAGATGGCCGGGGCTCCCTGCAAAAAGCTGGCACCTTCCCAAGCATAGACACCTCCAGGCAGATGAGACAGCCTCACAATTAGGTCCTATGCCTCAACAGATTGGTATTACAGCAAAGACTTCCTGAGGGAGCAAGACTAAAAGCTGGCAAGACCTGGGGGCACCACCTGGGTTCAATCTGTGTGGTGGGTGTCCTCAGGTTGGCATTCAATGACCTCCATAATCTAGCCTCAGCCTCCTAATTCAGTCCCATCTCTTTTCACTGGGCCCTGCTGGGTATCAGTCCCTTTCTGGATGAAGTCTCTCCTGACTCGCCCTCCCACCCAACATGTCCCCTCCACATATTCCTCTCAGAGCGCCTATTATGCTTCCCTGCGCTTCTTACTGGTCTGTCTCCCCCCACTGGCATCTAAGTCCCCTGAAGGCCAGAGCTTCTGAATCTCTGCACATCATCCCTCCAACCCCCAAGCAGGAGCTCCTAAGGTGGCTACCCTACTGGCTTTGACAAATATGAACTGAGCACCTTCAGGAAACATGCCTCCAGCCATTCTCTGTCTCTTCAACCTTCCTTCCACCCCGAGATAGGCAGAGTGGGAGAAACCTGGGAAAGAACAGAAGCAAAGGCACAGTGTCTAAAAACTGGACAGTGAGCATCCTCCTGGGGCTAGGGTGTGTGAAGAAGTGAGGGAGAGGAGCTAGAAAGGATGGCTGGAGCAAGGTCACAGAAGAACCAGGATGTTGTGGTTGGGAGCCAAGCTTTTGTTCTGTGGTGGGGGGAGTTAAGGGATGTGATCAGACCCCTAGAGTGGCAGCATCTCAAATCACATGGTTTTCCTGGCTAATTGGGAGAGGTAGAGACTCTCCCATCCCACCAACCAGAACACTCCGGAGGTCCCCTTCACTTGTGAAGCACCTATAGGCACTTTCTCTGCTCTGCATATTAATGCCTATTTATTTAGTTAACACACACATTTGGTGTTTCCTTAATAATTGGTAAATTCTTCCTGCTTATTTATTATCTTAGACCAGTCCCTGAGCCTTTTCTGGGGGGAGGGGAGGGAGGGAAGGCAAAAGGTGCCATAGACATCTTAGCTTTTCCAGAAAATGCACATACACTTATCCAGAAACAATTTTCCCTGGACTTTAAGTGGCCCTCAATCTTGGTTGCACACTGGAATCACCTGGGGAGCTTCATAAACTAGTGATGCCTACCTCCCACCCTGAGGTTTTAATTTAATCGATCTGAGTGCAGTCCAAACTTCAGGTTTTTTAAGCTCCCTAAGTGATCCTAATGTACACTCAAGGACTGGGCTCAGGTATCTTGATGCCGAGCTAAGACCCCTATCTTAGACCATGAGCTCCAAGCCTGTCCATTGTGAGCAGCACCTACCCAAGTAGGGTGGGGAGGGGAGAAAGTGGCCAATCTGAAAGAATGAGGAAGTCTTGAAGCTATAAGCCAACAGAGGAGGTGCTCACATACATTCCAGAAGGCTGCAGAACACTTATCAGAGACACTGAAATGGAAGACAAAGAGTAGAAAGTTCAGCTGCCTTCTTGAAAATGGATGAAAGTCCAGAGGACAGCACCCTTGCCACCCACATACTTCACCTGCTCCCAAGAAGAGCCACAAACATTATCAAAAGGCTGACAGGAACGGTCTTTGGGGAAAGTCAACCAACTAAATGTGTGGTTTGGTTGGTGGGTGCTATGGGTGAGGAGAGGACAGCAGTAGAGCACTGGTGAGGGTGTAGAGGTTTAGAGGTAATGGGCTGAAACTCGCCACTGGAGGAGGGAAAGATTTGGGTCAGGGTCAAGGAGAGGCATTCCTGCGGTGGGTAGGGAGCAGGGCTGCAGTGGAAGGAGAACTACACATGTGCTGGAGGCCAGACTCTGCCATTTTAACCATGGGACCCTAGGCAAGAACCTGGCCTCAGTTTCTTATCTGGGACTTGTGTGAGGGTAACGTCGGAGGAGCCCACGATCTCAGATGATTATCATCAGGTCATCTCTAAGGCTTTTTCCAGTCCCATGAAGCTCAGACATTGTCCTCCAAAAATGCTTTGGAGGTTTTCAAACCTGGTATCCATCAGCATCACCTGGGGTGCTCACTGCCAGGTAATACAGCTCAGTGGGTGGGGGAACAAGACCCACAGGGATTTTATAACTGTCACCTGTAGCTTCTGATGTTGCATGTACTTTGGGAATCACTGCTCTAGATTGCTGTTTCTCAACTCCTGGGAATCTTGTTAAAGGACAGATTCTGAGCCAGTAGGTCTGAAGCAAGGTCTGAAGATCTGCATTTCTAACAAATTTGTAGATGGTGCTGATATTGCTGGTTGTACATCCTTGCCACTCAAGGTGAAGCCAAGCAGCATCCTAGCAGTATCATTAGGGAGCTTGTTAAATGTGCAGAATCTTAGGCCCCACCTGAGACCTACTGAATCAGAATCTGCATTTTAACAAGGTCCCCCGGGTGATTCGCATGCACATTAAAGTTTGAGAGATATTGTTCTAGAAGTGGCTTATTGACCAGGGAACCACCACTGAAATTTGGGACAAAATGGTAGGACAAGACTCAGTTTCTTAAAATGAAATAAAAGTCAGAGATGGGCAGGGATTTCCATCTGTTTTAGTTACTGCCATATTTGTGGGCCTGGCGCAGAGCAGATGCTCAACCAATATTTATAAAGTGAATGGACAAGGGAAGAGTCCAGTTTCTGGAGCCAGGCAAGAGGCCAGAGTGGAGCCAGGAACCACCATGACTTGAAGCTAACTACTAGGGCCAAGCTCTGTCTAGTGCTCTTCCCAGGACAAGACTGGTCCTGATGCCATCACAGAGCATATCTCTGGCCACATGAGACATGAGCATGTTAAACTGTCTCATCTGTGGAGATTAGCAGGCTACAGAACAATGCAACCAGGAAAATACACCGGCCTTCTTAAATAGGTCTGCTATAGGAATCAGGGACTGCACCAACCTGTGGGGAGGTAGGTGGCCAGAGAGGCCCCAGGTCCAGAAATAATTCATCTGTGCTATAGGATTAATTTCATGAAGCTGCCTGGTACCCATTTGTCATGGGCAGAATTTAGTGCACTCAGCATCAATTCTATTACTCTCCGATTTCCTCTGTGCAAAACAGATGTCAGTAAGATACATGCTGGAGTCAAAGGCAACCAGTGTGGCTCTGTGGGTTAAGGCCAAATTCCATGTGCTATACGTAGGTTGGGCAAATGTTAAATCCTACAAAGAACAAACAGTATTTGTTATTAACTAGCCTTAGAAGAATGGATCAATAACTCATATCTGAAGTGACTATTATTCCTAGTCTTCAGGGGTGCCAGTCTAGAAAAGAAAACGTTTCTGTTTGTTTTTCATACGTATAGCATTATCCAGACTTTCTGGATCACCCTGACAGTAGCAGTTAGGATTTCAGTAAGGTAAGTTCATTCTCACTCTGCCCTAGCAACAAACTGGGCTGAAGATTTCTGATAGATTCCTCAAAACACCAGGCCCTTTTTCCTAATGATTACTGTAAATATACTGTGAACACAAGAGAATGCTTTTTAAAGCAGTGTTGTTTTTCTCAGGCCACTTCATTTGCTTGATTCCCACAAGTAAACTGGGTGAATAGTCATTGTGCATTTCTAAGGGTTCATCTCCCTCCGCCTTGGACTGGATCTCACATCTAAGGCAAAATGAAATGACTGTATTAATGGCCATACCAGTCATGGCAAAGTTCCCATGAATAACTGTTTTCAGAAGAAGAAGAATTTTCCATCACTGCTTCCTCCCCACTAACCTGATCCTCAACCTAATTTCTAACTGTCCCAATGAGCCTGGTTCCACAGAGGGAGAGTCCTGTGGGTGTCTCTGCAACTTCTCCAAGGGCTTTGAAAGATGGTTCCTATCTATCTTGACTATCAGTCAAGAGTCTGTCTTCAGCTCAGGTCATGAAAGATAGATATTGTTTTCAAACTAACTATAGGGACACAACAGTTTCTTTCCCTTTTCTCTGAAGCTCCAAAGGTCTGAGTTGGTAAAGTACGTATATGGATCCATAGAAATAGAAAACACCAAGGTGGATCAGTCAGTCAAGAGTCTGTCTTCAGCTCAGGTCATGATCCTGGGGTTCTGGGATGGAGTCCCGCATCAGGCTTCCTGCTCAGCGGGGAGTCTGTTTCTCCCTCTCCCTCTACCCCTCCCCCCTGCTCATGTTCTCTCTCTTTCTCAAATAAAGTCTTTTTTAAAAAAGAAAAAGAAAGATGGTTCCTGCCCAGCACACAGTCCCCCATGTTGCCAGGTGCATGTGAGGAGGGAACAAGAAATCAGACATTGTACTCACTGGTTACCAGACAAGAAATTTAAACTCGTGTATTCAATGGTCCTGCAGTAAACTGGTGTGTGTGTACCGTTGCACGTTTCTTGGCTTGTGAAAAGGATGCGCTAATTAATTCTCCTTTGCTTTGGAATAGCACTCAATGGCAAGTCACCAAAGTCATGCAAATTCCGTCTTTTCAAGCCATTTTTGAACAGGTCTATGTTTCTTTTTGTTGACTAAGAGAGACAGCGAGTTGTCATGTTCACAAAGATGACCTAACTTGAGCTTCTGTGGTTTGGGATCCTGCCTGCCTGTGTTTCACCCTGTTTTGCCTCCAAGGCAGGAGCCTACAGTCTCCTAGCCAGGAGATTGTGGTTAGTTTCCTGGCCTCCAACCGAGGTGGGGACACACCTGCACCCCTGAGGGAGGGAGAGCCTGTGGAGGGTCCGTGAGGCCAGGGCTGAGTCATTCACCCAAGAGACATGTCAAACGGCATGAGAACATCAGTTTGGCATTTAAGGAGCAAGAACCCACAGAAAAATTCTTCTGTATGTTAACAATCTAGTCCATTTTTTTAAACTAAGCCAAGAAAAGAAATTCAAGTTTGGTGTCACCTTACTCCAGTACTGAGGTTTACTCCTCAAGTGAAATTACCCCCAAAAGAAACCTCAGCTTCACCCACAAATCTAAGAGAGGTGAATGGCCTCCACCTGATAATATATCCTCCCATGGGCCCCTCTCTATGACTCCCCACACTTCACAGTTCTATTCTAAGCCCATGGAATTCAGAAAACCCCACTGTAAGCCATCGTCTTAGATTTTTCTACCCAAACCAGTTTTCTCTCTCAGAAAATTACTTGAAATGTAACTTGAATAAACCTGAGCCTTCTTCCTCTCTTATGGAGGTCCATCTTCATGTGGTATTTTATTCAAAAGAAACACAAGCTGGGGCACCTGGGTGGCTCAGTTGGTTAAGTGGCCAACTCTTGATTTCAGCTCAGGTCATGATCTCAGGGTCATTAGATAAAGCCCTGCATCAGGTTTCATGCTCAGCATGGCATCTACTTGAGATTCTCTCTCTCCCTCTCTCTCTCTCTGCCCCTCCTCCTACTCATGTTCTCATTCTCTCTCTCTCTCTCTCTCTCCCCCCCCTTTGTAAAATAAATACATATTTTTAAAAAACACACAAGTTGAACTCCAAATGCCTGAAAAAAAACATAAATCTTCGCTAAGTTTCTTGAAGAAATGGCCATTTTTCTCACTCAAAGTCCCACTCAAGAGCTACACCCAGCCCATTCTCTCTCCAGAGAGTAGTTTCACACTTTTTCCTATGAAAATAATCTAGCCTATGTGGTTCTTTCCATCCTAGCCATCCTCTTAATCCAGCCACAAGAATGGGAGACCACACAGCTCAGAATCCTCCCAGAGAATGATGGAAGGGAAGAAAGGCTGTAACTACCTGTGCCTCAGGGGCTTAGTTCCAAAAGTAAGAATGGGGAACAGAAGCAAAAGGACACCGACAGCACTATGAGAACCTGAGGGACCGTCTCCATTGTCAAGATGGCAGCCCTCCAAATGGGGCTGGGTTCTGGTGCGGCTGCCCCGATGCTCACCAGCACATGGAAGGCCAGCAGTGAAATCTTCAGGACCCTCCGTGGAATCCTGGGAAAACTTTACCCA